ACGTGGGGGACACTCTGTGTTGTTCTTGCTTCACATGTTGACCCTGGAACAACCATTACTCATTCTGCAGCCATTACAAAAGGTGTCGCGCAGAGCGCCTTACAGGAGCAAACCACGTCCATTCTCAGTTCCTCCACTATTGGCATATTGGACTCTTTTGCAGAATAGATCCAGGGACCGCACACATGCTTTCTCTACCACAAGGCACGTGTTCCCTTCTGGGATACGGTACCCCCGGCAGTCGGCAGTGGGTGTCAATTGCGGTAGCGGAGCGGGTTTTCCGCAGAGATCCATACACAATGTCATCCGATGGAGAAGGCTTCATGGAAGCCTATTCAAGTGTTGGCCGACCATCCGGCTACACTGAAGAGACGCTCAACTCATCGATGACCGCCACCGCCATCGTACGACGGAAGCGTCAGCTGGTTTAGCTATGAAGAACTTGTAGATAACTGGGTGACCTTCACAACCATCGAAGCATCCAAGCGAGGACCACTTTTCAAGAGCCGTCTCACCGGAGACGCTCACATGTACAAGGCAGTCCTCCAGAATGACCTCTTGCAAGATCCTGACGAAGGAGTCAACTATTTCAAGAACACGCTGAAGAAGTTCTTCCTGAAACTTATACTCTTCAGTCACAGGAGGCAGAACACCAAGTTCCTCATATTTGCATCCAAGTTTGAAATCCGCTTGATGAGACTGAAAGCAGCCTGGATGGACTTGATGCCCGCACAGTCACCAGAGTTCATAGCAAGAGGCCAGTGCAAGAAGAATTGCCGCGCACCAGCAAGCAGCTGGTACACGAGCACCGCCTCCAGATCTGCTGCAAGTAGACAATCCAGAAGTACTCGGGCAGTACCTCAACGGCATGCAGACAAGGCACAGGGACGCATTCCCCTCACAGACCGCAGAGAGAAAGGCTGATCAGTGCAATGTCATTGAGAAACATCTCGCTTGAGAACTACACCTACGAGATGATGAAAACGCAGTACCACGACCTCTTCTCCAAGATCCATCCATCCGACCTCCAGGAGGAAATCGGAGCAACACCTTCTACATCCTGCAACAAGGAGAATATGCAGGTGAAGAAGGCTTCTGGGTGGAAGCCGAAGAAGGACAAGAAGGTTTCATGTCCACCAACGATGAAGAGACATTTTGGGTACTGGAGGAGAACGATGCGTTCATTGCCAGAAAGGTGTCTGGGTGGAATTTCAGATTCAAAAAGGGAACAGGAAAAGGAAAATCAACAAGCAACAAGGGCAGTCACCAACAAGGTGGCTTCAAACCCTTTCGAAAAGGTAGCTCTGGCAAGAAGGCCAATATGGCCAACGAAAGTCAGGATCCCTACGACTACCACCAGGCATATTGGGGAAAAGGCAAACGAAAGAAGGGAAAGAAAGGAAAATCGAAGTTCCAGTATCCCTATATGATGGAAACAAAGGTTATCCATCCTATGGCAATGGCAAAGGAAAAGGCGGACAAGAAAAAGGAAAATCCAAAACGTTTGCAGCCAGCGCAGGAGGAGCAGCCCGCCATCCAGCAGACTGCACCATCCACAGAGCCTACCTATGCCGGTTGGACAGATCAGGATCCATCCGGGAATTGGAATGAACAAGGCTGCTACTCATCCCATAGACATCCAGCACAGGACAAGCGATGATGGCATTCCATGACGCGTATGAGCAGCATGAGAAAGACGCCATCGATGAGAAGCTGATCCAAGCCGATACAGTTTCTGAGCAGTCAATGACAGCGACAGCAAAACAAAGCCTTTTGGCAACAAAGCTGATGGCGCCTGTCATCAACCCACAGCACAATCCGACCTATGCGATCCTGGACGACGGATGTACCAGATCCATGGGCAGCTGGCGTGCAATCCAGCGTTTTACCCAGGCCATCGAATCTATGAAAGACCTCATCTCCTACTCGTACATTCCGGCCGACACCAAGTTCACTTTTGCAAATGGAGAGACAGCCAAGGTAAACTGGACCTTGCGCCAGAACCAACATCGACATCCTTGAACAAGGCACTGTACCGATCCTCCTCGCGGAACCTGTACATGACCATCAAGCATACACCTCAATGTGACAAGATCACACGCAAGGCTCTTCGCATGACGTCAAGCAGTTCCAGCATCCGGTACAGGACGTGCACTTGGAGTAGCAAGGGTGAAATTCCATGGAGAGATCGCTACCAAGGGCCTCACCAACTACGTTTACGATGATGACAACAGCGCACAATTCCCTTCGAGGGAACACTCAGTGAGTGAACAAGCCTGTGCATCCAAAGAAACCAAGGCGAAGGAAGAGATAGCGAATCCAAAAATCATTGGTGGATACTCGACAAGAAGAACGAGCAGCTCACCCGTGCGCGCAGAAGGAGAAAAGGGAGAGAAAGAGGAAGAAGGAGAAAAGGGAGAGGACGATGTTGGCGGAGTGAGCCTTCGGCTCTAAAGTTTTGCAGATCAACTCATATGTTGCACACTATGCACAAGCCCCCTACTTGAGAGAGACACCAGCACTTTGGGGGTCCCAACAAGCAAACAACAGGTCATCCCTGCTCCTGCTGCTCCTGGCTGGCAGTTCCGTCCAGGTTTAGCCGGCAAGTGTCATACATGTCCTCCAAGACCATCGCAGAGTCCAAATCTTTCCAGCCAGCCAAGGATGGCTTGCCATTTGGGCATCCGACAAAATTAAAGGTCTCAATCATAAGCCAGTCCTGGTCCTCATTCGCGATCGTGTAGGCCAAGCTGACAGTGGCGGTGCGCATAAGTGAGAAATGGAAAAGCATGAGGCCCTGCAAGAGGGTGAGGCCCCCACTCATGATCGTGTTCTGACACTCAGTGCTGTGCCACGCTGTCATGCAAGTCCGAAACAGGGAGTTTCTCAAACTTTCGGCTCTTTGCTCCAAGGAGAGGACGTAAGCAACTCTGGCTTGTGGATCAAAGCCATGCATGGAACTGTGAGCCCACTCCATTTCACGCAAGAAATATTTGATGTGCATTGAGCTTTGCTCAAACTCTTGCTGAAAGAGTGATGAGTCCACCAAAACGTTGACATCGTCCATAACCCTCTGTCTCAGGTTCTCGAGCTTCTCTGACAAGGATTCTTGCGGGAAAAGATCAGGAAAAAGTGCCCCAATAAGGGACACGCCAAACATGGCAAGTGGACTCCACTTCCCTCCATCCAATGTGGCGGCAAGGAGGCCCCCACCCATCAAGAAGTGGGCGCCCACTTGTGCCCATACCTGGCCGTCGACTTGTCCTTGAATCGCGGCAGCAATTAGGGTTGCCGAAGCTGCCCCCAACTCCTTGCCAAGCTCACCCCGGGCCGCAATCCTTGTCTCCTGATAATCAGGGCTGCTTTTGCTGTTCGAAATAAGGTTCGAAACCAGTGTGTCGTCCTGAAGCCGCCTTGCGCTCGCCTTCGCAGACTCGGTTGCGGGCACCACAGGCGTGGCGCCACTTGAACCGTCTGTGTCTTTGGCGCTTGACCACTCGGGCTGGGCAAATGTTGTGGAGTTTGGCCCAGGCTGGTTTGGCTGTGGCACAGGGGCTGCAAGCTTGATCGTCTCGTTGTGTGGCGCACCTTTCGCCTTCGCGAGAGGGCTGCCCAGCCCGCGAAGCTCCCCATTGACGACCGGGAGCGACAAGGCAAGCAGGACAGGCACCACACCACATAACTGCAAAAATGGTAGCATCATGGAAATGCCTAAGGGGCTCCAAGCAACAGCTATATCCGATGCTTGAGCCGGTTCCAGCGTGACCTTCCAGCTCCGGGGTTTTGCTTGGCAAATGCTGCCGCCTGCCCCCAAACCTGCGACTATGATTGTGGTTGTGCTCAGTACGCTTACCAGCAAGGAAGCTTGCTTGTCTCCAAAAGCCGCTTTGAGCCAAGGTGCAAAGTCCAAGTGGTGAGGCATTGCTCCTGGGAGAGTCTCAGCAAAAAAATGACAACAACTGTTTTGGTGTATTTCTCAGCTCTGCATTAGGGTAAAAGTAGATGGTGCAATCTCCCTTAGAGGGGTTGTTGAAACCCGAACGGCCATCCACTTTCAGCAAACTGCAACCTGAACCGAAAATTCATGGTCCATGCCACTTCCTCCTCCTCCTCCTCCTCCTCCTCCTCCTCCTCCTCCTCTGCGCTGTGCCGTAGACGAAACACTGAGCCTCCAAATTTAAATATTTTGCAGAGACACAATGGAGCGTCTTCGGCCTGAAAATTACTCAATAAACACGTAAGCTGCTGGTGGGAACTTAGGAAATTGAGGACCCGCAAATTGCGCTTTTTGAGTGCATCTGCGCCGCGACTGCAAACAAGTACAAGCTTCAAGCACATTGAGAGTGACTCTGCCTGTAGTCGCTCGCCGATACTTTTTGAGGGCACCCTTCTCGGAGTGGCTCTAAGTATTTTCGTACTGCTTAGATGGTATAACTAGTATTAGCCAAAGGTAAGCCGTCCCGGGGGTTAAAAGTCTCAAGCGTCCAACTTCGAAGCAGCAAACCGCATCACGGCACTGAGGACCCTCACTGTCCATGGTGCGAAAGATCATTTGCCTTGGAGAGCTTGACATGCTTGAAAATTGTCTGCAGCCACAAGCACATGCAAGTGGACAAAGACAAAAAGGAGCTGTGATTGGGACAGCTAAAAGACAAGGAGAAGGTCATACCGCTGTGTCTCCAGGCCACTTCCGATTCCCAACCAAGACCGACCTTTTACCTAGACTGTTCATGGGAATGAAATCTGCAAAACTGGCAAGCAGGGCTCCGCCAAATCTGCAGTCATGGCGCGTCTTGCTGATGGTCAGCGCCCCTCCATTCAGACGTCCCGAGCGGACCTGGCAGTCAGAATCCATGACGGGAGAATGCTGCAGGCACTTGGCTGCTGGGCCGTGTCTGGCGCATGCTCGCTTTCTCATTCAAGCCATCTCTAAGTCTTGTCCAAGTGAAACGCTTCCCCAAATCGAATTCAGGTGCAAATGCTTCGCCCCTTCGAAGCGGTCACACGGCTGGAGGTTGATCAAGCAGAAGCCTGTTGCCTACACACTCCCACAACTCGCGACTGTCTGAGGCTTGGCCTCTTGCTGCGTGAGTGACAAGTGCTGGCTTGGCACTCCATGTTGAGCAAACAACTGCCATGAGCGCGCAAAACACACCTCTCACACACGAGGTGAAGTCTGAGGCTCTGCGCCGTCGGCTTGGAGGCTCCTCCTCGCGACAGCGCCAGGAGCCAGGGTGGGGTGCTCGACGAACCTCTGTGAGTGTGGGGGATGGCATTTGCAATCTCCGTACAATGGTCGAGCTAGTTTATGAATCAGATGTGCCTGACCATCCGGATAATGCAGGTGAGCACGACCATGGCATCAAAGAGAAAGCACGGCTAGTTGTCTGCACGAGGCTGAAGATAGCCCATGGTAAAAAGCCTTACACTGGCCTGACCAAACCCAATCTCCCACGTCAGTTTCGCTTTCCAACTATCAAAAAGGACGGTCATTGCTGTGTTCCCCCATTTTGAGGCATAACTTTTTCCCCAGACAGCTGAAAGCTTCAGGGGTTCTAGCACAAAGGGGAAATTTTGGTTTGCGAGATTGATGGACTGGTGCTAGGGGGCGTGCAGTGAGATTGACAGCCAAGTAGGCGCATTTTTGCAAGATTGACGGTACGACGCTCATGCAGTTTGTTTTGGATGCGGCTTGGGGTGCTGGTGATGGTGTGGGCGCATTTGTGCGTTGACGGCTGGGTATGCGGTTGCGAGATTGACGGCAGGGATGCAGTTTGTTTTGGGGTGCTGTTGGAGCTGCTATAGCGACGGCGCGGGCGCAGTTTTACGAGATTGACGGCCGGGTGCTGTTTTAGGTGCGGTGCTGTTGGAGGTGCTGGTGTGCAACGTTGGCTTAGCTGTCTGGCGTCTGTGCTGGTGTACTTTATTTGCAGGAGCATCATTTAGCAGGTGTTTTGTGTCCACCAACAATTCAAATAAAATCCATTACCAATCCATCTTGCATCCATGCCTCTTCGGTTTCACCAGCAAGCCCCGCTCAGCCCATCCCCAGCTCCGGGCGAAGGTCTCGGTGCACTGCCGCGCCAAAGCATCGTGCTCCCGGCGATGAAAGCGCCGCAGCCACGCCGCCTTTTGCGTCGCGCTGCGGGTTTCAAGGCCAAGGTGGCCGGGCTCGCCAGGGGCTTCATCCGGCGGCCATGGGGGAGACTCGATCTCAGGGGAGAACGATTCAAGCAAAGGCGCCCTGATTGGTGGAAGCTTGTTTGGAGCGTGGAGAGAATACGTGAGGATCCCAAAAAGAAATATTGGCAGACAAACATGCTCAAAGAAATAATACATAGTGTCTTCTGCTTCCATCGGCCTTTTGGTCTGCCTGCTCAAAATTAGGCCAAACTTAGCCTTTCCGAAGCCCAACCTTTGAAAAGGGACAATGAAAGAAAGTCAATCCAGCCAAAGTGGAGGTTGATCAATATTCCTGGCCCCCAAATGACCATGCGTAATTTTTCCTGCTTAGTGCTTGGAGAGTCAAGTCTTTTTTGGAGGTTCCCCTTTTGGTCACTCCATGTTTTACGGACCTTTTGATCAACCAAGGTGAATGGCCCATGTGCATGACCCCATGTAAGCCATCCAACCTATGGTTTCCTTAAATTTCCAGGTTCCCATTCCTCATTCCCTGCCTATTGCACCAAACAAGTCAAAAAGGGAAGAGCCTCTGGCCATGGGGCCGTCGGATCCCAAACAGAACTGCTCAAAGTAAAGATGACATCGTGTCTTCCATCTCGTACGCACTCCGCTTCCCGTATCCTTTCAACCTGCTTCAAGCGTGCGTCGGCCTTTTGGTCTCCCTGCTCCAAACTAGGCCAAACTTAGAACACATGAGCATGCCAAAACGAGTGGTAGACAAAAATGTTCCTTCTTCAATGAACAACTTGCGCCGTCGGTCGCTCGACGAGCGACGCCTCAGGCACTGCAAGAAACCCTTCGGCTTCCGGTGAGGCCAGCAGCGCGCGGAAGGCCGGCAGCAGCTCCTGAGACTCGGACTGGCAAGGGGGTGATGCAGGCGCGCCAATGATGCGTTGTTGCTTCGTGTTTTATCAATATATACACCAAATGTTTAATACGTAAATAATAAACAAATAATCAAAGGAAGTTTAGAAGGAACTTCCGTGCTGCGGCAACTAATTGAAAGCTAGCCCGCTGAGACAGATGACAAGACAAGGAATAAGCACGCGAGAAAATACGCGCGCGCGTGGTGGGAGAATAGACGGGCGCAAAAAGCGTTTCCCTGTGCGTGAATTCGCGTCTCCAGCGAGCTGAAAGCTAGCCTGTTCGCGGCGCCTGGTCGGACCACGTTCCACGTCCGGAACACGTTCGGAGCGCTCTCGGAGCGCGCGCCGATTGGCACGGCAACGCGAAGGTTTCGCAAGGATTGAGTTGCGTGGCCGGCGCAGTACTTTCGCAAGGTCAAGTGCAGATTTTGTGGCAGGCACAGCACTTTCGCAAGGTCAGGTTTTCTTAAGGTATGAATTGTGTGGCAGGCGCAGCACTTTCGCAAGGTCAGGTGCAGATTTCGTGGCTACAGATTTCGTGGCAGGTGCATCACTTTCGCAAGGTCAAGTGCAGATTTCGTGGCAGGCGCAGCACGTTCGCAAGGTCAAGTACATATTGTGTGGCAGGCGCAGTACTTTCGCAAGGTCAAGAACAGGTTTCGTGGCAGGCGCAGCGCTTTCGCAAGGTCAAGTACAGATTTCGTGGCAGGCGCAGCACTTTCGCAAGTTCAGGTACAGACAGAGAGAGAGAGATAGATAGATAAAAATAATTTTAGATAGATAGATAGATAGATAGATAGATAGATAGATAGATAGATAAAAAGAGAGATAGATACATAGATAGATAGAAAGGGAGATGGAAAGAGAGATAGATAAATAAAAAGAAAGAAAGAAAGATAGATAGATAGACAGGCAGATAGACAGATGGAAAGAGAGATGGATAGATACATGAGTGGGTAGGTAGGTAGGTAGGTAAGAAGATAAAGAAGAGACAAAGGAAAGAACTGCGCAAGCAAAAGAAAGAAAGAAAAGAAAGAAAGACGGAAAGAAAGAAGGAAAGAAGGGAGGCAGGAAGGAAAGAAAGAAAGGAAGAAATAATGAATGACGGAAAACAGACAGTGGAAAGGGAGAAGAAGAGAAACAGAATCAAGAAAAACAACACAACTATAGTTTTTAGATGTTCGAAACTTCCGCCCACCGGCTTCGCCGGCTCTACTGGTACAAAAATCAACAAACAAATATATAAAACATAATAAATAAACAAACAAATACATACATAAACCAACACACCTGCATTGTTTGTTATGAATAAAACCCAATGGCATGTGTTGGGGGTTCAGAGAAAAGCCCAATGCTTAGGGTGTGTTCCTCAAGGCACATGGTGGCATTTAGGAGGTGAGAACCGCTCCTTCACCGTGCGCGTTGGCGTCCAATTCCCCAGCACCTCCATCTTCACCACGCCTGGCGCCGGATGGACCATCCGAGCGGGGGGGGCGGGGGGGGGGGGGGGGTGTGTTTGGTTTGTTACACCATTGATCTCCCGCAACCATTTGGCTCAAGGCCCTCTTGTAAATAGCGTGTTGCACTCATGCGATAGCAGTACAAAGGCTTGCAGAGACCGCTTACAGGAATAACAGTCAATACAAGTCACCAGGGACAATCCATCCTCCAATCCTCCATACTGGCATATTGGACTCTTTTCGAAGGAATAGATCAGGGACCAAACCAACGACCTCTACTACCACAGGTTACTAGTTCCCTTCTGGGATAGGTACCTGAGGGACTCACTTTGTGGTAGCGGAGCGGGTTTTCTGCAGAGATCCAAGGGAAGATGTCATCCGATGGTGGAAGCCTATTCAAGTATGGCCAAACCAACAGGCAATACGGAGGAGACACTCAATTCATCGATGACCGCCAGCGTACGACGGAAAAGTCAGCTGGTTTAGGTATGAAGAACTCGTGGACGACTGGGTGACAATCACAACAGTGGAAGCACCCAAGAGAGGACCTCTGCTCAAAAGCAGACTCACAGGAGATGCCTACATGTATAAGGCAGTCCTCCAAAATGACCTTTTGCAAGATCCTGATGAAGGAGTCAACTACTTCAAGAACACGCTGAAGAAGTACTTTTTGAAAGGTGCGACCAACGCGTATCTGTACAGGCTCCTCAGTTTCTTCAATCATAGAAGGCAGAACCAAGAGTTCCTCATTTTTACCTCAAAATTCAAAAATCCTTCTCATGAGATTGAAGGCAGCATGGATGGACTTGATGCCAGTTTTCACGGCACAGTCCCCATCATTTCGACAGTCCGTACAGGACGCAAATGCAAGAACAATTGCTCGACATCAGCAAGCAGCCGGTGTTCGAGCACCGCCTCCAGTCCTGCTCAATGAGGATGATCCAACAGTCCTCAGACAGTGTATCACGGGAATGCAGGACAGACAGCGGGACGCATTTCCCTTCAGGGACAATCTCATTGCTCAGCATTCAGAGTGAATTGTCAGATCAGCAGAGAGAAAGACTGACAAGTGCAATGTCATTGAGAAACATCTCACTAGAGAACTACTCCTATGAGATGCTGAAGACGCACTACCACGAACTCTTCATCACGACCAGGACATCCATTCAAGATCCATCCATCCGACCTCAAGGAGGCAACCGAAGCAACACATTCTTCATCATCGAACAAGGTGAATATGAAGGAGAAGAAGGCTTTTGGGTTGAGGATGAAGAAGGACTTGAAGGATGCATGTCAAACAACGATGAAGAGACATTCTGGGTCCTCGAGGAGAACGATGCGTTCATAGCAAGAAAAGTGTCAGGGCGGAATTTCAGATTCAAGAAGAGAAAAGGAAAAGGAAAATCAGGAAACAAAAAAGGCAGTCACCAACAAGGTGGCTTTAAACCCTTCAGAAAAAGCGGTTCTGGCGGGAAGGCCAATATGGCCAATGAGAACTATGATCCCTACGACCAGGCATACTGGGGAAAAGGCAAAGGAAAGAAGGGAAAGAAAGGAAATCAAAATTCCAATATTTCTATGATGGAAACAAGGGTAATCCACCCTATGAGAATGGTAAAGGAAAGACCTATGCCGGTTGGACAGCCCAAGATTGGGATCAATCATGGACGTGGAACGAACAAGGCTGGCACTCATCCCGTGAGACATCCAGCACAGGACAAGCGCTAATGGCATTCCATGACGCATATGAGCATTTCAGAACACAATTTGTCCGTCACAACAAATCACAGCCTTTTGGCAACAAAGCTGACGGCGCCTGTCATCAACCCTCAGCACAATCCGACCTATGCGATCCTGGACAACGGATGCACCAGATCCATGGGCAGCTGGCATGCAATCCAGCGTTTTACTCAGGCCATCGAACCAATGAAGGACATCATCTCCTATCAGTACATCCCGGCCGAGACCAAGTTCACTTTTGCAAATGGAGAGACCGCCAGGGTAAATTGGGCCCTGCATCTTCGATATCACACAACTCCTCCATGCAGTACCAACATCGACGTCCTTGAACAAGGAACTGTACCGATCCTTGCATATGCGGAACCTCTACATGACCATCGAGCACACACCTCAATGTGACAAGATCACATGCAAGCCTTTTGGCATGAACCGTCAAGCAGTTCCGGTATCCGGTACAGGACATGCACTCGTCGATCTCGCTGGAGTTGCAAGAGAATTGCTCATAAGGGCCTCACCAACTACGTCTACGATGATGACAACAGCATCAAGTTTCCCTCCGGGGATATCTCCAAGAGTGAAACTGTTTGTGCAGCAAAATCATCCGAGACGAAGGAGGACCTAGCAACTCCTAAAATCATTGGGTCTCAGAAGCAGGACCATTGGATCCTTGACAAGAAGAACAAGCAGCTCATCCGTGTGCGCATCACGCCTCGAAAGGCACTGTTCACACCAAATGGAGCCAAGGAATGTCCAATCAATCCTGACAACATAAGCCGAGAGCGTGCTACGGAAATCATTGATGCATCCGAAGGTGGAGATCCAGACATCCTAGAAGACAATTGGAGACTTACATCCCAGGCAAACAAACCAATGATTAACCTGCGGATAGGTAAGACCATTTTCACCTTCGCGGACAATTCGCTTAAGGACGAAGAAGCAGGCTCAGGATCGGCAGCAGACAGGATCATCGACAAGAAGGGCCGGTCGACCATTGAGCCAGATCCTTTCGCACCATCCTCAGAAGAGCCAACAACGCTTCCGCTTGCACTAGGCAGAATCCACAAGCGATTGTCAAATCCCGAAGAGTTGACGAAGCTCCACCTCCAGCATCACCACATGACAACAGATCAATTTCGATTTAGAACTCGCTCACTTCATTTGCCGAGATCAACATTCGATCTATTTGACAAAATCAGGAGTGAATGTGAAGTTTGCCAAGCGGCAAAACATGCACCTTCACAAAGCAAGACGAGTGGACTTCGAGCGGACACCTTTGGTGACATGACATTCATTGATCACTGTCAAGTTCCTCTTGGAACAGGAGAACACACCATTGTTTTTGTCATCCTGGATGGAGCAACCACATTGCTCACTGCAGAGGCAGTGACAACTACGCAAGAAGTCGAGAACATCACTGTCCTCAGGAACTATTTTGACCAGTACCATGTGCAGCCCAAATCAGTTGTCGCAGATCAAAATTTCTATCAATCCCTTGACATCACACCGATATCATTGGGACCGAACACACCATGGCCAAATCGAGCTGAAGCTGCAGTTCGACTCCTCAAAACTGCTCAAGATCATGCTTAGTTCCATCAAAGCAGGCACAGCACCTGCCACACTGAAGAAAGTGACATATAGACAGCTGGTGAAGGCAGCTGCAACTGTCAGGAATCAGACTGCCACCTACGGGGGTGTAACACCATTAGAGCTCGCATTCGGAAGACGACCAGCAGATCTCATCCAACTCGATGTCGCAACACCAACTCAGCTAACGATTGACAGGAATGAGGAGCCAGATCAAGCAGCTGTCCAAGCAAGCATTCCAAGAAGCACGTCAATCCGAAGACATCCGACGAGACCTTGCTCAAAATCTCCGAACGAGTTCTAAGCCTCTTCAGGTGAAGGACAAGGTATTTTACTGGCAGGAAGACAAATCCAAGATCCGTTCCGATGGAAGCAAGGGAGGAATATGGCTAAAAGGAAAGGTCATTTCCATTGAAGGAGCAATGGTAGGACTTGATCTTGGGACTCGACTCATCAAGGTTAACATGACGAGGTCAGAAAGGATGAAACCACCCCCCCGGGGAAACCTGGAATTGATCTTCTATCGCCAGAAGAGCGAGAATCCTTGCAGAAGGAGCAGGAGTTATCCGCACCAGCTCCCAAGCCAAAATCCTCAGTGCCATTACGCATCGCGAGAGAACATGTTCGTCGAGGACCTCACATCCGTTCCTGAACAAGCACACTGGAATTGTGTACGTAAAGGAAAGATCCACGCTCTCGAGATCTTTGCAGGAAGTGCCCAATGCTGCGCACTGTCGGGTCTTAAGGTTGGGACTCCCGTAGACATCCGCACCGGATTCGACGTAATGACATCCAAGGGACGACACATGGTCATGGAGATCATCAGAGAGCAAGCACCTGATGTAATCCTCATGGCACCGGTCTGTGGACCGTGGTCAAACATGCAGAACATCCAACAAGACCAACAAAGAGTCTGGGAAAAGCGGAAACGCTATCTTCCCATGGTTGAGTTTGTGGCATCCATTGCGAGATATCAGCTGAAGCACGGAAGATATTTCATTATTGAAAATCCTCAGACATCCAAGATATGGTATCTGAATTGTATGCAGCAACTGTTTTCAGATCCATCCGTGACCTGGGGAGATCTCCATTTCTGCGCATACGGACTGAAGGATCCTGAATCCGGGCTCAGAAGTCTCAAGCCCACGAGCTTGATGCACTGCTTACCTCCAGAGGTAATGAGACCGATCTTCAGAAGGTGTAAAAAATCTACCAGCTCAGTCAAGCATGAACATCAACCCCTCGAGGGAAATGCTGGTACTTTCGGAAGCAGAACCAAGCTGGCACAGGTTTATCCTTACCAGTTCTGTCAGGATATCGCCCACATCCTCCTCAGACACTTGAAGGTGAAACCACTTGACAACGAGCTGTACCTCTTGGAGTACCTTTTCGAACCATTCACCATCAAGCAGGTTGACATCCTGAGAAAGGAGATGGAAGCCATTGACAAGGGGTTCAACATGACCAGCAGTAGTCTTACGGTCAGAATTCAAGACCTCCCGTTCAACAAGGACGTTCAACCATTGGTCATCCAAGATCCGCTGGTCCAGAAGTTTCAGAAAACGATGAAGCAGAAATCACCGGGGACTGAAATCGATATCTTTAAACAAGATCCAAATGACTGGCGATGTCAGAACATGTGGAATGGCTGCAAGAAGTTGAGACAATTGTGCG